TCCTGATGATGTGTCACTGAATGTAACACGAAAGCTTGAGTCTCTTCTTTTTTTTTCTGTATGAAATAAAAATCATGATATTTACTGCAGTTATCTCTTTCTTTTTAAGTTCCCTGGATTAGTTTCGGCGACACTTTTACTGCGTCTTATGAGAGAAATCGAATGAGTCATTTTAGTTTATTTGCTTTTTTTTAAGGTTTGACCTTTCCGATAGTTATTCAGTATTGTATGGACAAAAATAGAATAAGTATCGTATTCTACTTGTATTTTCTTTCTCTTGATTCAGTTTTGCTGATAGTTGTCGAATGTTTTATGAGCGAAACAAAAGAAAATAATTCACTTTTCTACTTTTTCTTCCCATCATTTAGCTGTTGTGATAGTTTTTCAATATCTTATTGGGCGAGTAGAATACAACGACTCACTTTAGTTGTGTTAATACGCTTAAGTTATGATTAAGTACTACCAGATTTTCAACTATTTTGATATTTTAAGGGTTAATTAGATAACTCTATCGTAAACATTCAAAAGTTCATGAGCTAGAGATTTTCGTTTACCGTTTCGAAAACCCTCTTTAGGTTAATGATTATCTTGAATGATTCTTTATATCGTATTATATAGTGTTAGTGCTATTGATGATCCTTATGAATTCTGCTATATAACTTTTTGATAATCAATTTTAAAGTTATAAGAAACCGTTTAGAAAGTTTATGTACTCCTAGAAAAAGGGTTTATGAAAGTACAAGGTACAATAAATCCTTTGAGAGTTCATAAATATTATAAACCTCTCTCAATCATATGAATGAATATTGTTTTACACGTAACCATGAAGTAACATCAGCTGGTTTCGCTTCAAGACAACGATCAATATTGTAACAGGTCATCAGACAAAGTCCAATGGATATGAGTTGCGAGGACGACACAGAATTGACATTATATGATACAAATTCTTTACATCTTTCCACATCATTCAGCAATATTTCTAAACTATTTGCACCTCTTCATACATCACGCCATTGTTCGGCACTTTTCAGCACCTACGCACTTGTCAACATTGAACTGTCATGGTTTCTTCTTGTTTAGGAAAATAGAATATATGTTACCCATCTTTCTGATCCAAGGTAAAACTCCTCGTCTGAGTATATCAAATAATAATCAACATCGATTGTCGATTGTTTCGAAGCACTTTGATAATGAATATTATAATCAACAGCAAGTTCAAATTATCGGTTCTGAATTATCACAACCACTTCCTAATACTGATGGTAGCACTGATCGACGTCGACTAACGCAGATCATTACTCTAGTTGGTAATAATAAAGAAAATATTGTCGAACCGAAAGGTCGTTATCTCTTATTATTTATTGTCGAACCAATTCTTATTGGTTGTCTTCTCTTTCCAATGTTGGTTCTCTTTTGGGATTGTGGATGGAATCTCACTGTTACTATGCTTAATTCATTGAATGGCTTTCCATTGACGTATAATCTTGATGGAAACAATTATACTGATGATGGATACGGTGATTATTCACCTCAATCATTAATCATTCCTTATGTGATTGTTGAAATTTTACTACTCATTTTCTATCTTGGTCAAGATCTATTCTACGATTTTCTCAAACGACAATATACTTTTATCGAGATGATTCTTTTGAAAATTCATATATTGATTTTGGCATCACTGTATATTGTTCAATGGGAAATGATCTGGACTATTTTGGATCAATATACTCCTCAAGAATGGACGTTTATTATGGTTCTATCGTTAGCATCACTATTCGTATTGATCGTTGTTACTGGAACTTTATCGGATCTGGTTTGTTCGCCATTTGTTGTCAGTTATGATTCAATTGAATATTGTATTCGATTTGAATGTCCTCTTGTGGCAGAACATGTAAGTATTCTCTTGTCAAAAACGTCACATTGATTTATGATTTATTTTCAAAGATGGATCGATGGAAAATCAATTTGATCAATTTTATATTGTACGAATTTATCATTTCTAACATCACAATTATTGGATGGCATGGTTTTTATCTTATTCTCGATCAATATTTGTATCCTGATGATACGATTAAATCGGCTTGGATCTGTTTATTGATTGGTTACCCTCTTTATTTTTCACTGATGTATTGTCAATATTACTTGGAGAATTTCAATTTGAAATATGATTTTTGGACAGTTTTTTTGGCCAACTTTCCGCAATGCCATCGAAACATTTTTCATGGATTAGCTTTTGCTTCATGTCTATTTCTTTGGCGTGGCTTTTGGGTTCTGTATGATTCTTATCTCGATATCTTCGAAAAATATCATGAGACGTATTTGTTAATATCTTTGCTCTCATTTGGATTCTTGTCCGTAATACAAACTTTTTCATCAATGAATGGTTCATTAAGCGCTATGGAAGATAATTATCGTTTCTTTCCTATCTATTCGCATTGCTATATTTCAAAAGTTGTTTACAAGTTGTCTCAACTGTCGTGTTTTCAATTAAAGACCATTGGAACTACAAGAGTTTTTCCTTTTGAAAATTGAGAAACCAAAAACAAACCGAATAATGATTGTCAAAGACACAATTTATCATGCTTGATCTTCGATATCAAAACCATGAAGAATTGTTTTTATACAGAGACAAAAATCAAACATATATGTATATCTTCACCTTACCATCACAATTCATTCAGCCAGATTTTGCATTTTAACAGTGGTCATTTTCTTATACTTCCACCTCGCTATGACAATTTTTAGAAAAACATTTTGTCGCATTTTTCAGAAAAATACGTTAAAACTTGTGATTTTGGATATGTTTAACTGTGTACATTTTGCTAATGTCAAAAACTCTCTAATGCGTTTTGACATACAATAAGTTCATAGTATTGCTTTATTCAGTGGTTTAAAACTAAATAGTTTCAATGGAAATAATATTGGGAATAAATAACAGACTCAAGGTAACCATTGGTTCATAGAAAATCAAGGGTTAAAAAGCATAAAATGGTTTCACAGTTTCATTCCATTCTGAAGGATGGATTAATTTCCATGTGTATGTCAATAATCGAGTGACAAAATTCGAATAAAATGTTTTGTTTATCTTCAAAATAGAGAGAAAAGTCTTATGAGAAAAACAAAGATGTGATTGTCGGTGCGCAATAAAAAGAGTTTCAACCTTCCTACCCTGGTGATACTCTGCTTGAATACAAAACAAATAATTGATTAATATTCTTATATCACTTGAATTTGTTAGATTTTGTTTTAATTTTTGACAAATTTTTATGTAATTCCTTCATACTTATCGTTAAACCATGATCATGAACAGTTTTACTAAGTAAATATTTAGCACATATTTGAACATATTCAATTTTTGATTGTTTTTCTTGAATTTCACGGTTCATTTCCTTAGAAAGAAAAAACAAATATGTTTGATAATAATTTGTTAGAAACAAAATAAGTAAAAAAATTGACATCTGATTATCAAATATATTTTTTAAATTTATTAGCGCTTCAGATAAATGCTCAAGACTTGCTGAAGTAAAACTTTAATAAATGCGAAAACATCGGATTTAAATCCGAGTGCTATGTGTACTTCAAAAAGTGAACAGGTATATTCACTTTGTTTTGTATCATCTGAGACAATATCTAGCCTATTTGCGTTCTCAACTGTAGTTTTTATGCATTTTGAGCCTTTTTCGGGGGATTTTTTGTTAGAAAGCTACAATTTGATTCAAAACTAATATCAGATTCGGAATCAGCGTTAAAAACTGAGTCGATAGATATATGTTGTGAATAATNTATACTGGAAACTGCCTCTTGTGATTGGGTGAGGAAGAATTGGACGAGGTTCTTTTTACTGCTCATATAATCCTTTTGAAACGTTTCCGCGTCTCGATGCGTTTGTAAGCAATTCACTTGACGCACTTGAACGCGTTCAATAAACCATACAAGTCTAAACTCGTGTATGTTGAAGACAGAGTACGAGTCGCTTTCTCGTGATCGTCTATGGGCGTTTTAGCTTTATTCCCTAAAAAAGTCATAAAATTCCGATCACTTTATGTCTCTGTAGAACTGGATTCTAGCATTCATGTTTCATTGCTGTCATGAAGCTTTAACGAAGTTATGCTTGTTGTAATGAATTAACTAAGTTCCATGAGTATCTCTGTCATATTCACTTTTTACTTACACATTGTTTATTGAAAATATTGATGTTGACAATACTTTATTCTACCACATTATCAAAACGGCTTAATAATGCGCAAACGATCTACTGCAATCTTAATGCTTTTATTGTTGAGTTCATCATCTATTTCCTATATCAAAAAATAATTCCTATGAATTTTATTTTTATTTTCAACTATTTGATTTTATCTAAAGTTTTGGAAAGTAGTTTTTCAAATGAGAATGTTACTCTATCTCTATTCTTCTTCATAATAAAGAATAAGAGTCTAGATGAAACTTTTTCATTTTATCAGATTAAGATTGATAAGAAAAAGAAAATCTTCATTATTTGAAAAAATAAAGATAAGTAATTTTTTGAGTTATAAAAAACGTAAATGAACACTTAATTTCTAAAAAATCACGGATATCAAGTAATAATTTTTTCTATGAAGATCTAATCTTCTATTTTCTGTAAATTTCTAAAAATTGTAATACCATAGTTACGAATATGTAGATACACATAAGACTTTTTCCATATGTTTTCAGACAGCGTTGTCAGCTTTCAATAACTTTGTATATTCTGTTATTAGCGAAAAGAAAAAAATATTTAATTTTGTTACACAACGAATTGTTTGTTTATTTATCAAAGAGAGATCTTTATTTATTCTTTAAATTTTCTTCATCTTGTAGACAATGAAATTTTTATTTTTTTATTTTTTGCTTATAAGCATAAAGAATACATTTATTTTTATTTTATGAATATATCTTATTGATATTCATTTACGAAGTGAAAATAAATAGACATCACTATTCTTAGAACTATCAGAGGAAATTCAAAAAGTTAGTCATTTAGTGTATAAACATAAAAATAATTTCGACCCATGTATAGCTCAGAGCTACTTGCGCTCGAGTTGTGATCGATGGTCGTGTGTTCAAATCTCGATTCAAACTATCGTTAGAAAAATGTCCACTCTGTTGCTCACGATATTTGAGTGTTATATCATAGTTTGCTGTGGTGCGTCNCACTAACACCCCACACCCACCCACACCCACACTCACACCCACACCCACACCCACACCCACACCCACACCCACACCCACACCAACACCCGCACCCACACCCAAACCCACACCCACACCCATGGATCATTAGGGCATACATGATGCGCATATCCTTGACTCAAAAACAATGTGACAGTTCGGAATGTTGCCTCGGTAGTCTGAAAACTCTATGATATATTTGGTTTTCTACAAGATATATTGGTAGTTTCCTTGGATACATCTAGATGAAAGAGAACGAACAAATATTTTCTGACTATGAAGAATGTTGACCTACAACCGAATCAACGGTGGGAAACATTCGGCGACAATCTTCTACAGGAAATTTATTAACGACATATTAATAAGAGCTAATGGTTTGAAAAACACTGAAACACCTTAGTGATTTTTCCCAATATTTTCTCATGAATTTCTACATGTACTTGTCCTTTAGAAAAGCTATGATCATCCTTCAGAAGTCATTACACAAAACTGTATGCTATAAGCTTTTATTTGCGAGATTATGTTTAAGTGATCGCGTCACAACATTTATCAATAGTCATCTTATAGTAGAAGTTAAATTAAACGAATTTTCTTGTCTTTGTCAAAGATTCGACTTAAATCGTTCTCATTGGTAACGTACATTTGAACTAAATCTGAATGAATCCAAATAATCGGTTGATCGATCAATGCTAATGCTGAAAAATGATCAGAATAATTGCTGTTTATTACTGAATCTTTCTTAATAAATACTGGAATATAATTATCGACTTTATATTCGAAACTCAGTCGAATTTCAAATGACAATGAGTGTTTTCCTTTATTTTTTCTTAATCTTAAACCGGCTGTACCCTGCCATGGTTGCCGATGTAAGTTTGGACCACATTTGATTAAAAATTGATCACAATTCGATGATTTATTATGTATACTCAAACGAACGGTACCCGGTAAGAAAAATTGTATGTCATCCAATTGAAAGATATTTTTGGTTGATGTTTGTGATTCATAAGAACATATATACTTAGTTGCATTGATTAAAGATGAAAATAACAGTTCTTGTCTTAATAATTCACGATTAGTATCAGCAATTTGAGGTTGATATATTTGTGCTAAGAGGATCAATTCATCACTTGGTGTAAGTTGAGCATCAGCTAATTTTGGATGATAACGACTATGTAATATTGGTTCAATCAATTGTGATATGTTTTCGTTCAATGAAATTTCATTAACTAAAATCAGAAAACTTTCTCGTGTTGTACAATGCATTAAATCAGACTTTCTTTGAAAAAATGGTTGTGAAAATTCTTCAAATTTGTTTGAATACACTTCAGTCCGCTGTTTCATAAAAGTTTCTAAATCTTCCAGGTTTGGATAGTCTTTTTCCAACTGTTCATGAGACGTTAATATGATACTCTCATCAAGACCCATTTCTACTACTATTTGATTCAGACATGTTGAATAAGCCTGTATATGTTCATTCAAATCGGTATCATAACAAGCATACCGACGAACATCTTGTACAACAAAGATACGAATAGATTTTGTTTGAACTTGAATGACTTCTGCTAGTGATTGTAGAAACCATTCATTTGTATAATTACAACGAGTCAATTCACGTAGTAATGCAGCCTGTTTACTATTTGTTACTTTGTAATCATCATTTAATGCTTCTCGTAATAGATCAAGTTGATAATAATTGTGTTTTTGTTGTGAACAATCGATAGCTACTCGATCTTCTTTTAGCATTATTTCAATACTGTTTTGTATATCAGTAATTGTTTCCACTGATCCATCAACTTTTTTAAATATTTTTATTAGAACTTGAGCAAAGTTTTCTGTTGCTATGAACATTGCCTTGACGATGGCCCATAGTTGTAAGAGTGAAATGATTTCTCCCAAGTCTGGTAAATAGCCGTCATTCTTAGCTTTATTTCGATCACGAATTGGCAACATAAGAATGGCAAACCTTAAATCCTCATCACTTGCTAAGCCATTTCTTATTAATATTTCACGTCTGTGTAGAAGTTCTTCTTTCGATGGAATTGAACCACGACGTATGCCATTACTAAATAAAATTTCGATGATTCGATGAGCAAGTGTTGTAGATGCAGCTGATTTCCACCGTTCTGTTCGATTAGCTGCAGTTATGGCTATTTTTTCAGCTAAGGTTTCAGCTTCTTGTTTCATTTTCGGATATATTATTTTTTGTACAAAGTCCGAAGTAACTTCAAATCTTGGACGATCTAATTCATTTCGCCAAGTGCTACTTGACACATAACATTGGAATTGTTGCTCTAGTTGTTTGAACAAAGAGTAAGTACTCAGATCCGAATTGTAAGTTGCATTTGTTGCTAACATTGTTCTCTATAGTCAAATGATATTCATCTATACTAAATAACTGCTTATGCTATCATAATCTATAGATATATAGGATGTATCAAAAGCCGTGTTTTTTTAAGAAATGCGTATAAATTCCTATTAGTCAAGTGTGGCCCAATAGTTTTCTTTATCTTAGAAAAACGATTTGTGGATTGTTATTCATATAGACGTAGTTAACAAATACCCTACAAAGCTTATTCCTACGGATCGTAATTTGAAAAAATCTTAGCATTTTTTCAATATCTAAAAACAATATGAAACGTTTCTCTATATTGTTATTTCGACTTCCATCGTTACTAGAAGCCTAAAATCATTGATATATCTCAGAATGGTTTTATAAACTTTCAATTTGGTACATCTTTATAAAAAAAAGAACAATGCGATGTTCCAATGTCGAATAGCACCAAAAAAATTAGTAAATCTAGAAATATACTTTCAAGAAATGCGTCTATCGGTCAGTCTTTTTCAAAACATATCAAATAAAATGATTATAGAGCAACAATAACGTACTTTAATAATTTAAATATTTGATAGAGATAGAAGTTGAAATGATGATATAAGACAAACTGTGTAGGTTGTTTTCTTCTTTGGAAAACTGCCAAGATTTTAAATTCCGATCAGAACTAATAACGTTTAAAGGGTGTTTATGAACTTCATGTTTATCAATAAAAACTTATATTTATCTACTTTCAGGTAAAAGATTATTGGTTTGAACTTGATTAATAACGAACTTGATCACAATTCTCAATTGGACACGACTTTTCGAATATCCTGTATACACATGGTACTCTGTCTTGTAGTGGGATGATATCATAATTTTCATGTTTTAGGCCCAAGAAAATTAGCAAACATGCAAATACATTTTATTCTTTTCCATCACTTCTGCTTTAGTAATGTGATATAATGACTTAGTAATATAATCCAGTTAAAAATACTCTCTTTTTATTTTCTTTCCCGATTCCATTTCTGTGAAAAAAAATCTATTTTTGTTCTCTAATGTCACTCCAATGAAAAGACATTTGCTTCTGATCTCAGATTCTCATTACGGTAGGAAAATATTTGTTTTCGTTCCCAAATACTGATCTCTGTAACACCCATGTAACCATGAAACGCATTTTAGACGCGTTAAAACGCGTTTCCAATTAAAACATCCTCCAAATGCACTGAAATGCATCTATAGCACTAGTGTCTAAACGCGTTGCTAACTACTACACGTGTTTAAATGCGCTTATTAAATAAGATGCATCCAAACGGGTTTAGATTAGTTATGCAGCGCGTTTCAAAGCGTACAATTTCAACTTTGCATCCAGATGCGTTCATAATTTCCAACAAAATTAAATTGAACGCGTTCGAACGCTGCCTATCGACAAAATGCGATTACGTGCGTTGATTCTATACGTTTGCTGATGGTCTTGGATTCCACTTACGCGTCTAAATGCAATTCGATTTCTTCTTTGCGTAGATAAGATGCATTTAAGCATGTTTCTAGCCATACGTGCATACGACGCCATCTAAAATGCAGGCTGTTTCATTACAATAAATATTAATAGACCTCGTATTATGAACGAGACTATCCGATTTTCAATGAAAAGGATTTTGAGGATTCTCTAATAAATTATTAAGACAACGCACTAAAGCTCTCTTGCATTTAACATTCTTAAAAATGACTACTTCTGATAATCTATGATTCTTAATGTAGCCTACTAGTGCTGCGTGAAATAAGTAAGTAGACAGCGATACGTCGAAAAACTTCAGAGAGTCTGTGTCCATCTGACTAATTCACGAGGATGCTATCAGTCCGAAGTAGAATGAAACGGGGCTAATGCCAAACTAAATACTCTATACTACAAACCGTCTCTTTTTATCGGATTAAAAATAATTGAACACTGTTATTTTTACTCCTCATATAACCCTTTTTAGACTTTTTTCGCATCTCTGTGCGTTTATAAGCAATTCACTTGACACACTTGAACGCGTTCAAGAAACCATACATGTCTAAACTCGTGTATGTTGAAGACAGAGTACGAGTAGCTTTCTGGTGATGGTGTATAGGCGTTTTAACTTTATTCCCTAAAACGTTATAACATTCCGATCACTTTATGTCGATGTAGAACTGAATTCTGGCATTCATGTTTTATTGCTGTCATGAAGCTTTAACGAAGTTGTACTTCCTGTAATGAATTAACTAAGTTCCACGAGTATCTCTGTCATATTCACTTTTTATTTACACATTATTTATTGAAAATATTGAGCTGTTGACAAAACTATATGCCTTATTCTACCACATTTTCAAAATGACTTAATAATGCGCAAACGATCTACTGTGAGCTTAACGTTTGTATTGCTGAGTTCATCATCTATTTCCTATATCAAAAAATAATTCTTATGAATTTTATTTTTATTTTCAACTATTTAATTTTATCTAAAGTTTAGCAAAGTAGTTTTTCATATGGGAATGTTATTCTATCTCTATTCTTCTTCATAATAAATAATATGAGTCTAGATGAACATTTTTCATTTTATCAGATTAAGATTGATAAGAAAAAGAAAATCTTCATTATTTGAAAAAAAAAAATAAGCAATTTTTTGAGTTATAAAAAAACGTAAATGAATACTTAATTTTTAAAAAATCACGAATATCAAATAATAATTTTTTCTATGAAGACTTAATCTGCTATTTTCTCTAAATTTCTAAAAATTGTAATGGCATAGTTACAAATATGTAGATACACATAAGATTTTTTCCATATGTTTTCATACAGCGTTCTCAGCTTCCAGTAACATTGTATATTCTGTTATTAGAAAAAAGAAAAAAATATTTAATTTTGTTACATAACGAATTTTTTGTTTATTTATGAAATAGAGAGAGCTTTATTTATTCTTTAATTTTTCTTGAGCAAGTAGATAATAAAATTTTTATTTTTAGTTTCTTTTCTTTATTAACTATAGAGAATACATTTATTTTAATTTTATGAATATATCTTATTGATATTCATTTATAAAGTGAAAATAAATCAACATTACTATTCTTAGAACTATGCAAAGAAATTCAAGAAGCTAGTCATTCGGTGTATGAACATATAAATAATTTCGGGCTGTGTATAACTCAGAGATACTTGTGTTCGACTTGTAATCGATGGTCATGTGTTCAAATCTTGGTTCAAACTATCGTTGGAAAAATTCCCACTCTGTTGCTCACAGATTTGAGTGTTATATCATAGTTTGCTATGGTGCGTCGGTTCGAATCCGACACAGAGGGATGATTATTTTTTAACTTTTTGGAGAATAAAGTACACGCAGTCAGAAGCGCTTAATTTTCTGAACGCGTCCCAATGCTTGAAAATGTTGCATTGTGAACGCGTACAAACGCGTCCCTATATGTAAACGAGCTGTGATGCTCTTATAATTCAAACGTGTGCNGTTCAGAGTTGTAGGACATGAAGAGATAACAAAGACTTGATAAGACTTCATGAAATGTTCTCAAACTTCAGAAAACCTCATAGACAATCTGGAGACTAAAATTGATATGAAAAACTCTGACTTGAAACTTTCTAGAGACTTTCTGAGATTCCGACACTTAATAAACTTGAAGATATATACTTTTACTTTTACGCCTTCGATCGTAAATTAAAAAATCATTATACTGGTAGAAGGCTTAGCATACAACGAGAAGAATATACTCATGAAGATTAAGCTAAAAGAGTGTAGGTGTCCATGTAATCATGAAGCGCATGTTAGACGCATTACCGATTGAAACAGACTCCAAACGCGTTTATTAAATAAGATGCATCCAAACGGATTTAGATTAGTTATGGGACACGTTTTAAGGCGCACAATGTCGACTTTGCATCCAGATGCCTTCATAATTTCCAAAAAAATTAAATTGAACACGATTGAACGCTGCCTATCGACAACATGCGATTAAATGCGTTGATTCTATACTCTTGCTGTTGCTCTTGGGTCCCACTTATGCATCTAAATACAATCCGACTCGTTCTTTGCATAGATAAGATGCATTTAAGCAGGTTTCTAGCTATACGTGCATGCGATATCATCTATAGTGCAACCTATTTTGTCAGAATAGATATTAATAGATCTTATATTATGAATGAAACTACACAATTTTCATTGAAAAGGAGTATCAGAATTCTCTAATAAGTTATTAAGACGATGTACTATAGCCGTATTGCTTCTAGCATTCTTAAAAATGACTACTCCTGATAATCTATGATTTTAAATGTAGGCTACTGGTGTTGCATGAAATATATGTGTACACAGCTATACGCTGGAAACCTTCAAAATGTCTGTGTCGGTCTTACAAATTCACGAACATGTTATTACTCTAAAGTAGAAATAAATGACGATAGAATTGAAGTAAATGTTCTATCATACAAACTATCTCTTCTTTTGAAATTAAGAATGATTTGATGATGTTCTTTGTACTGCTCATGTAACCGTTTTTAGACTATTATGCGTCTCTAAGCGTTTATTAGCGATTCATCTGACGCCTTTGAACGTGTTCAAAAAACCATTCACGGCTAAATTCATACATGTTGAAGAGAGATTATGATTCGTTTTCTGGTAATCGTGTATGGGTGTTTTAACTCTATTTTCTAAAAAATTATATAATTCCGATCACGGTACGTCGCTGTAGAACTGGATTCTGGCAATCATGTTTTACTGCTGCCATGAAGCTTTAACAAAGTTGTACTAGCTGTAATGAATTAACTACGTTACATGAGTATCTCTGTTATATTCACTTTTTACTTACACATTACTTATTGAAAATGTTGAACTTTTGAGAAAACTGTATGCCTGATTCTACTACATTTCCAAAATGGTTTAATAATGCGCAAATGATCTGCTGTGATCTTCTTACTTTTATTGTTACGTTCATCATCTATTTTTTGTATCAAAAAATAATTCCGATGAATGCTTTTTTTAATTTTCAACTATTTGATTTGATTTGAACTTTTACAAAGTAATTTTTCAAATGGGAATGTTAGTTTATCTTCTTTCCTCTTCATAATAAAGAATGGGTCTAGATGAAACTTTTACATTTTATGAGATTAAGATAAACAAAAATAAGAGAATCTTCATTATTTCAAAAAAATATTATTAATACTTTATTTATAAAAACCATGGAAATCAAATAATAATTTTTCTATGAAGACCTAATCTTCTATTTTCTCTAAATTTCTACAAAAGTTGTAATGCCATAGTTACAAATATGTAGATACAGATAAGATTTTTTCCATATGTTGTCATACAACGTTTTCAGCTTTCAATACCATTTTATATTCTGTTATTAACGAAAAGAAAAAAAAATTTTTAATTTTAGTACACAACTAATTTTTTTTACTTATCAAAGAGAGAGGTCTTTATATATTCTTTAATTTTTATTCATCTTGTAGATAATAAAATATTTTATTTTTTTAATTTGTTGCTTATAACCATAAAGAATACATTTATTTTAATTTTATGAATATATCTTATTGCCATTTGTTTGCGAAGTGAAAATAAATCAACATCAATATTCTTAGAACTATCAGAAGACATTCAAAGAGTTAGTCGTTCGGTTTATGAAAATATAACTAATTTCGAGTTGTGTACAGCTCAGAGCTACCTGTGCTCGGCTTGTAATCGATGGTTTTGTGTTCAAATCTTGGTTCAAACTATCGCTGGAAAAATTCCTACTCTGTTGCTCACGGTATTTGATTGTTATATCATAGTTTGCTATGGTGTGTCCGTTCGAATCCGACACAGAGTGATGGTTATTTTTAACTTTTTTAAGAATAAAGTAAGTGCATTCCGATGCGCTCAGTTTTCTGAACTCGCTCCCACGCTTGAAAATGTTGTATTTTGGGCGCACACAAAGGTATTTTTATATATAACCGAGTTGTGATGCTCTCACGTTAAATGCTCAGAAACGCGTTCGAAACTTAAAAACGGTTACATGGGTATGAGCACAGGTAGCTCTGAGCTGTACACAACT